GGCAAAACAACAATACTGACATAACGGCAGTGTTCAAAGGACAGTTGCAGCTCTGCAGCAGCACCTCAGTTAATGAGTGTATAGAAAAGAATTTATCTGAAGAAGAAGAAAGTGAAACTCAACAGCCTTTCAGGCACATGAAACCAGCTTGGAGAAAACTCTGAGACGGTGGCAGCTACTTAAGAAGAAAATTCAGCTGAAAATAAATGTACAAAGAGTTTGGTTCAAAATTTCAGCAATGTGTTTTCCCCTTGTCACTCATTGCTCAGATTGTGATTAGTGTTAAAAGCTGGAATGCAGATTTCCCCGACTAATCGTTATATGAGTGATCATGGCCACATTTTTATTACTTAAGTTTTCTGGCAGTACCTGTAATTTCAGTCATGACGAACTAATATGAGTTCAGTGAAATGTCATGTATGCCATGGATTTAGTTAGAATTTACTATTATTATGTAGCCATTTTCAATGCCAGGAAATAGCTTAAAATACAATGTTGAGAAAATACCAGCAGCAGTAACTAGAATATTATTAGCATAAGTAACAAATTAATTCCCATCAACCAAGCACATTTTTTTTTTTTTTTAATTGATGGCTTATGATAAAAGGTGCCTCCACTGAATTAAGCTCCTAACTAGCTTGCTTAACAAACAGGGTAACGCATCGTGTTAAAGTATGTGAAAGCCAACTTATTTTACAAAAATGTTAAGAATAAATACAGTAAGCTTTCAGACAAAGGATAGTTGTCAGGTTCTTAGTATGCAATGCAAAACTGTAATATTCTATGTAGTGCTTTATTTTTCTAATAAGTCATTGTGATAAGGTTAACACTTCAACACAGAACAACATACAAATAAGAACACCCAAAGATGAAAATTACTTTGCTTATGTTGCTGTATTAGAATTTTATTTGCTAAAGGGTGAAAACAGATTTTCAAAATTCACAGTTAACTTAAAACAATAGTTTTAAACCTTTTATTCCTAGCCCTTGCTGCCTTCAGGAAGGAAAGAACATCTGGTTATTTAAGGAACACAATATGTTCACATTTTCTATGACTTTTGTTTCTAATTGGGTTTTTTAATTTTTTTTTTTATTTGAACAACTCTAGTTAGAACTATGTTTTTTAATCACTTTATATTTTTCCACTGCCCTATCTCCAAATCTCTGCTTCTTAATTTTGCAGCCTTTGCTTTGAAAATTAACAGTGCTCAATGGTTTTGATAAGGAAAAAAATGAAGAAAATTAGCCACTCATGGTGTATTAAATATGCAGACACACACCTTCAGTAAATGCTTTTGGATATACATAAAAGAACCTTCCCTTATTTTCTCATTTCACATACACATACTTTTAATAGCCCATTCTTCCATAAGAAGCTCTACTTTTATATTCAGAAGGACTATAAGTGCATAGAAGTTACTTTAATATAAATAATTGAGGCAATTATCTGTTCAAAGATTAGAAATGTGAAACAAATACTCTGCTAAGCAGGTTAACTTTATCACCCTATGCGAAGACAACAACACTGATGCGAGCTTTTCACTCCACATTTTCCTAAGAAGTGGAGCTAGCCAAATGCAGAAAAGGCTGAAATTCAATTATTCTGCATTGATCCATACTTATGCCTGTAAAATTAGTATCTCTCAGGCCCCCCCTCAGAGACAGGTGCATTACCTTGTTTTCAGCTATTACAGAAATGTGTATTTCTCTTGCGTGGTACTGAAAAATATCAGGGATGTGGTATCTAAAATGTCCTCTCATCCCAACTGCCAACTGGGGCTCACAAAGTGAAAAGGAGAGCTGCTGCAAGCATTAGGTTAATGGCAAGCACTAATTACTTTTCATATTATTGTTAATACTGGATAATGCTAAGGCTTCTGGTAAGGTTTCATTCTACAGAAGGTCAGGCAATTGTACTTGTCCATCACCAAGAAAAAAATGCCAGCCCCACATCTTTTAAGTATAGCTTTCTTCTGACATTTAGGCTCCTCTCCTGGTGATGACTGCAGTGAAAAGAAGCAAACAGAATGCGACAGGTTCAACAAGCCAAAGTTTAGCTCTCCTGATAGAGTACAAGACAAATAAGTAAGAAGGAGATACTTGCTGTGTTAGACCAAGGAAACAGAAGAAATAACAGATGTGCAAACCCAGATTACCTCCATAATCAGAAGTTATGGATGGAAAGGCCATATCAAGTCCATCTTAACTACTTCACCATTTATGACAAGATTATTCCTTAAGAACCTTTCAGTTTTATTCACATGCTACCAGCCCTTCTTAATCCAAATACCCCACAGCTTCTCCTCTGTGAGATTATCTGGCATTTACCAAGCTGCAAAAATAATACAAAATTCTATATGTATTAGCAGACCTGCAAGAGGTGGGTTCCTGTTTGTTCCTAGCCACGACTTCTAAACAGCTTTTCTTGTCCAGCGGAGGTTTAAAGCTCCAAGGAGCAGAGAGCTAGCCTCTCTCAGATATTTGGAACAACACTTAACATACTTGCTATGTTCAGCAAATAATGAAATAAGCCACTGGACCATGCAACAGTCTCCCATAGAAGAGTTCCCTGACTTCACATATCAAAACCCAAGTGAAATCCTGGAAGAAATGCCACACAGAACAACTCAGCCTTGGCTCAGGATAGATAAATTGCACTGAACCAAATGTAATTTCCTATTAGAAACCAGAAGCTGGTGATGGAGAAATGCACAGGAAAACATCAAAGAATGAAGAAAAATCATTAAGCACTGAATTTGCTAATCACCACTTACAAGTAACACTACTGACTAAAATCTCTTTGTCTTTTCTTCCAATCTCCTTTTATCTGTGCAGACAATAAGGGCAAAGTGAATTATCTTCATGCAGATAGCAAAAAAAAAAGGTATAATTTTCCCACTTATATTGCTATATAATCCGTGCACTGATCTTAGAGTCCTACAGCAGCCACAATACCTTGTTGTTCCCTTTCATTCTGTGCATTGAAAAATTTTGACAGACCTGGAAAATTTTTATGCATAGGTCTCATAGAACAACAAAAGTTCCATTTTGGAATTACGGAAAAAAATTGATTGAACAAACATATGCTTAAAGACACGTAAGTGAAACTTAAAATCATACCTAGGAAAAGATACTCAGGTACTCAAGTCATAGCCTTGAAAATACATTTCTTTCTCAGACCAGGAGAAAGATTCTCTTAGAACATTTCTCTAGAACAGTTTTACTTCCTTACTGTAAGAATTCCTGGCCTGTTTATGTAGACTCAACCCAAAGACCCAATGTAAAATGAGAAGTGGCTGGAAGTCCCTTAGGGCTCTTCATTCTCTGGAAAACACAGCTTCCTAACCTTCAGAAATTTCCCAAGCAGATAACTACAACTTGGAGATGAGGAACAACTGCAACTTATCGTATTTAAATTAACAAATCAACCACCACTTTTTGCATGAAAGAGCTTTAAGTACTCATTCACCTGAGAAAAGGGAGAACTACCTGAAAGAGATGGCAGCAACTACGTGAAAGGTGTATTTCTGAAAGGTGTTTGAGGCACACCTGAGAATGTTAATTAACACAACACCAAGGCCTTATGAGCCTGACAACTTCATTCTGTTGTAGACAAGAGCATAAAGAGTGGAATAGTGATCAGGCTTCTTTTGCGAGAAGTTGGTGGTTTGTTTTTGCCCCTTCAGCTGATAGTATATCTTGTATACTGCTTAGTGTGTTTTGGAGTGCAGCTGAATAATTAGTACTTACTTTATCTTTTAACATATTCCTTCAATAAATGACAGATTACATATTGAATTTAGTTTGATATCTTAGCAAAATTTTCCTCCCTCTGTATCTTTCCTGTAAAAGACATTTCAATCTTATTTTGCTAAGAAAGTACATAAATAAATGCTGGGCAGTTTGATTTCACAGACTGCTGCCAAAATCTTAAGAAAGATTCCTGAGATCTAACGTTGCAAACTTTCTTACGCACTGAAAAGATGATACACTTTACTTCTCATCATGAAAGAAATCTTTGTGCCCAAGAGGAATGAAGAAAGCAGCTATAAGCATGCAGATTTCTGCAAAAAACTGATATAGAAAAAAACAAAGACAGATTTTTTTTCTTAATCCATAGAAGTGTAAACATTGGTACTGAATGAAATTTTGCAAAGGCAGTCAGAGTGCAGAAGTGATGAATTTTTTGTTTTCAAAGGTGATGTGCATCAAGAAGATGAGGGAAATCAGACTTTACACTGGCAACCTAGTAATGGGATATGTACAAAGACAGTTCAAAACCAGCAGCACAAAGATCTGTGTACACAAATACTACTGTGTACAGCTTCATCTCACTTTATCCACTATACTGTGTTACTCACACATATGCACATGCCATTCTAAAACAGAAAGAGGTTTGCTCTTTTTTAATAGATGAATATATCAGACACTGTATGCTAGTAATATATGACATAAAATTTATGAATTTATACATTTTATTCAAGTAAATCTTTACAGATTGTAACACCAGACTCTCGTTTTTAATTGAAATCCATCACATAACTATTATATATTGGGCAGGGGTAGTGCTTTAAGGATTAGCAGTGATTAATCTGCAGAAATCCCATGAAAAAGGTCTTTCAGATGAAATTGCATGATGGTTTCTATACAGCTTACTAGGTTGTTATATAAAACATTACTGTTTCCGTCAAAAGTATATATTGGCAGAAAAGATGTCTGTGCAGAATACCAAGCAAAGGTATTCTAAAGATCATAAACATCTCCAGTTACCAGAGCTCCTGGATAACTTCAGAAAAGTAGTAGGATAGTATCCTGTAAAGAGCAAAGGAACTTGTTTCTACTCCTTGTTACCAACTCTTTCCTTCAGCCTTTTCGTCAAGTAAGAAGAAACATGAAACTATCATTTAGTTCCCCAAATGTAGGTTATTAGTAACTTCACAGCATTTAGAACATTTTATTACAGTGATTTATTCCCTGTATTTACAGAGCAAGCATCTCACCTTTGGATCTCGGAGAAAAAGTGCTCTTAGGATAAGGGAGTGAACATCTCCAATAGGTGGATAATGCATCAGAAGTCCCAAACAGGTCTGATAATTACTTGAAATCACTACAATGAAAATAAAAAAAAAAAAAAAGAGAAAAAAGAAATATTATGATCTTATTTTGATATTCCACAACATGACCTTTTGCAGTAGATTCATTACAGTTCAGATGCAGTTGTCTTCCCACACTGTCTCTCAGAACTCAAGCAGTGCTCAGAGTAAAAAAAGATATTACAGCATCAAACTTCATGAGTACACTTGGTCCAATATAATTAAGAACAATGCTAAACCTATGACTTTATGCCATAGACATTTATGTTAGCTTCAGATTTAGATGCCTAAATTTAGATCTCTGTAGCTGTGCACCTAAATCCTTCTCAAGTCAGTGGAGGCCAGGGAAATATACACACATATGCAAAATGATGTCAATAACTGCTTGTTTTCTCATAAATCAGAAACTTCACAAAATGTTCAGAAAAAAGGGAAAAGACTAAATTTTAATTTCATAAATACGTAAAAATATACCATTAACTTTCTTAGATTTTTTTTTACTTATTTAGGGATTTTTCAGCATAAGTTTATAATTTTGTTCTAATTCTGCTTGATTTTACCTGAATCTATATATTATCCTCTATTGCTCTTTGCCTGTTGTTATCTTCTGGTTTTTGCTTTTTTTTCCCCCAAATCAATCTAATTATGAGTGCAATTATTAAAGACATCTTTTCAGGCAGGTCTATGTAAACTACTTCATTTCTTTTGCACCATCTAAATCCAGGCAATCCATCTGCCACAGCTGTCAAAGCAATGCCTGTTAATGATGCTTCCACTCTGCAACATAAAGACAGCCTTCAACAATAGTAATTGTAAATAAATTTCTATCAAACTTCACTATTCTGAGAAGTTACCTGCAGTAACAAATACTTTTAATTAATCATAAACACTGAAAATACAAAATTATTTTGAATCAATAAATGGCAAAGTAAAGGACAGTTCTGTGGACAGAGAAATTTAAATCTTTTACTTTTTTTCTTTCATGTGAATAAGCCTCATATCCTCCTGCACCTTACCTCACTCAACAAGAGGATTATGGGGAAAAGATGCAGGACTGGGCAAAATGAATAATTATAATCTGTGTAAGGAACCACTTTATCATCTTCATTTCCGTTGCTGATCCGACAGCTTGTAATTTCATACATCTGCTTTCATTTGTAAAGCACTCACTTATCCTACTCATTCTTTATCTGTTCTGCCTGTTCTTTTTCCTACCCTTTGTTTTTCTTGTTCATATTCAGGTACCTGTTTTTTCTTCTTGAAGTCACAAAGCTGGCATAATGAACACAATACAATGGCCTCCGTCAGAGTTCTTTCAGAGGAGTATAATACGAGCACCACATAGTACATGCCCAATCACACTCTCATACGTAAATCAAATTTAAGATACTGAACTGCAGTTATGATCATGATGCCTTTTTACCAAAGCAAATAAAAACACTGAAAATTGATATTAAATGCTAAATACTTTTATAAATGATAGACACTAAGACTGTGTTTCTCTTGTGAACAGATCAGTATTTGTTCTATTCTGCAATGTTTTTAAAATGGATTAAAAATATCCTTTCTTTATTTTTCCTAGAAGAGTTCTTTGCTGTCTCATAAATAAAAGTAAATATTAAAAAAACTAATTTATTTCAATCTGCAGACTTGACAAAAAATCCTTACCAGCCAAACAAAGTTTAAAAAAATCCAGTGCATTAAAGAGGCAGACCTACTAACTTTTTCAGCTGTCCCTTTCAGATAGAAATCTTTACAGAAGAGAACATTGTTGCCAGTGCCCTATTTGCTGGGAATCTTGAGTTTGCTGAAACACTTCTTAGTACCTTTACTTTCAGAGTGATCCATCTGTTGCCCATGACCTGACAATGTGCGCTCACAGCCCAGAAAGCCAACAGTATCCTGGACTGCATCAAAACCAGCATGGCCAGCAGGTCAAGGGAGGTGATTCTCCCCCTCTGCTTCACTCTGCTGAGACCCCTCCTGTAGTACTGCATCCAGCTCTGGGGGCCCCAACAGAAGGACAGGGACCTGCTGAAGCAAGTGCCACAAAGGTGATCAGAGGGCTGGAGCATCTGTCCTGTGCAGACAGATGCTGAGAGATTAGGGGTTGTTCAGCCTGGAGTAGAGAAGGCTCTGGGGAGACCTTATTGTGGCCTTTCAATAAATTAAGAGGCCTATAAGAAAGACAGAGAGAGATACTCTTTTACTAGGCCCCACTGTGAAATGACAAGGGACAATGGTTTTAAACTGAAAGATGGTAGATTTAGATTGGACATAAGGAAAAAATTCTTTACTGTGGGTCTGGTGAAGCACTGGATCAGCTTGCCCAGAGAAGTTGTGGATGAACTGTCCCTGGAAGTGTTCTAGGTTGGATGGGGCTTTGAGCAATATGGTCTAGTGGAAGGTGTCTCTGCACATGCCAGGGGGTTGGACTAGATCCTTGAAGGTCCCTTCCAATCCAAACCATTCTATGATTCTTGTCTCTTCAGGACAAAATGTATAATATATAAGAGAGTGGGAGTTTTCTTAAAAATTATTAAATTAAATAACTTAAAATAGCTCCTTAAAAATATCTGCAAACCAAACCAAACACATCTTCTGTGGTGAGCAGGTCAAACGAGGTGATTCTCCCCTTCTACTCTGCTCTCGAGACCCCATCTGGAAAACTGCGTGTAGTTCTAGTGCCCTCAACATAAGAAGGACATGGAACTGTTGGAGCAAGTCCAGAGGAGGTCACAAAGTTGATAAGAGGACTGGAGCATCTCCCCTGTGAAGATAGGCTGAGGAAGTTGGGGCTGTTCAGCCTGGAGTAGAGAAGATGGGCACGAGACCTCATAGTAACTTTTCAATATTTGAAGGGCCTACAAGGGATCTGGAGAGGGACTCTTTGTTACGAACTGCAATGATAGGACAAAGGGTACGGGGTTCAAACTGAAGGAGGGGAAGTTTATGTTAGATATTAGAAAAACACCTTTTACTGCAAGGCTGGTGAGACATTGGAACAGTTTGCCCAGGGAAGTGGTGGCTGCCCCAACCTAGGCTGGATTAGGTCTTGTGCAACCTGGTCTGATGGGAGGTGTCCCTGCCCATGGCAGGGGGCTTGTGACAAGATGATCTCTAAGGTCCATTCTAAACCCTAAAATTCTATGATTCTATGTATCTCTGAATATGCATATCAGAGTTAAAAGGATTTTCAAGAATCATCTGTAGGATGAAGTTTCTGGAAGGAGATTCTGTGCAATGCAAATTTATCCAGTCTCAGCAGTGCTGAAGTTCAATGGGGAAGTATTTTACACTGTCCAGCTGCCTTGTAAAAAGCTTGGCGGTTCTGTACCTGTGCTTTTCCTTCACTCATTGGCTTAGTGAGAGCTACACCTGGATCCAAATTTTATTGTGAACCACAAGTTCTACTTCTCCAAAGAAGAATGGTATTGGTATTTCTAGGGTATTTTCTAGGGAAAGGAGTAGAGAAACTCCTCTACATACAGAAAACAATCTTACAGTCCTTGGATTAATATTTGTTTTTCAGTTGATCCAATAACCACTCCTGGATACAAGCAGCAATAACAGTGGTGGAAAGTCTGAAAACTCACTGTACTGTCCTCAACAAAACCCTAATTTTCTGACACAAGTAATTTCTTAAGAATGTTTGATGTCACTGATCCCGTATCCAGATGACCTCCTAACTCAGGAAGGGTGGGACTACTTACCCCTGCTGCTTTATGCATGGCTATGTTCTCTTTAGTAGGCCCTAATTTGAGTTTAAAATAGATAATACGAACATCTTGCATCATAACAAAAATAACTAATCAGTTCCTCAAAGAGAGCTGGTGGCTCCTTTATTTCCCTGAAAATATTCAGAGCACTTTTAGATTTGAAATACTATATACTAACAATGGCCATACCCATCTTCAAGTGGAAAAATGATAAAAATACACTTATTCTAACACTTATCACTCCAAATTAGCTCCTAGTGCAATAATGACATTAGTTTACTATGCAAAATATAGACGGGCCTTCCAGGTTTGTTCATTTTTGTTCTTCTTGAAGAGAAGTATATAAAATACGTCTATTTTTGCAGGACATCCTCCCCTCCATCCTGTTTTCATCAACAACTGCATGTATATCCACGCTGGTAAAACAGAAGTAAGTATCCATGCTTCTGATTTGACAGAGTAAAAGAAGTTTTGCATTAATTTTTCCAAAGAAATAATTTATTAAAGCTCATCGATATTCTGATACACAACTCTACATTTGGCTTGTGAGGATTTTCACTCCACAGATAAAGCTTTGCTTGGATACAGGTGTAAAACTGAAGAGAGCAGTTTACTGAATGGTTGTGTACATGATAATGTATCTGCAATCTCTAAAATATATGAACAATAATTCAATAATCTAAATGTTCCCTTCTCCTTGAAGAATACATTGTTTCAGTAACTAAAAATAAAAATGAAAATATAGCAGAAATAATACTTTCTTAAAATCATGTCCTTAAGAACACTGCAATAGAGCAAAGAAAAAAAAAATCCATCAATTCCCAAACCAGCAACTTCTTCCCCAGCACCAAATGTGTTGGTATAAAAGAATCTGCATAATTTTTAAACTTTCAGATGCTTTCAGTACTGTATTATAATTGCTTATATTTGACATTTTTATAACATAATATCTTAGGAGCTCTATTATTGTTCCTATTGTTTCAAAGTTTTTAAACTAGAAATTTCCTGATGGCTTATTTAAATTAAAGATGATTATAATCATGGGATGTTTTGAGCTAATGTTTCCTTTCAAATAAAGAGAAGCGTTTAGAAACTTGTTTTATTTGAAAATGTTTTTAAAAATATTACAACACAACTCTGAAGTCTGTTCAAAGCTCAAGTATTATCAACAACAAAAAACGAGGAAAATGGCAAACTCTTCTATTACAGATATATAAGAAAAGCTTTCTTTTATCAAATCAAGAACTATGGATATCGCTATAGTTTGAGCTTGACTTTGGAAATATGTTCAACTTCACAGTATTTATGGATATTTTGCTTCACCATTCTATTATGCTTACAGTGAGTAACTAGGTCCAGCTATAGAGCAAGAAGTTAGTTATTACAGACGCATTCAATGTATGAAGTATTAGCTGTCCTGATGAGATGACTTTGCCTCTCATTTGGGCAAATGTACTCCAATGTAAAGCTATTTACTACTCTATTTACTAAGCCTGGGGAGTTCAGAGGAAAGAGGGAGACTGATTTCATACAAATGCCTGGAACACATTTTTAGCTCATATTTTAGTTAACTCATACCAATACTTGTATATGAACACCACAAAGCAAAAGAAAACAAAACGAGAACAACCTTCTCTCCCCAAGAAGAGAGAGGGTGCTTACAAGCAGAGTTTGAATGTGTTTTTTTTTAAAAAAGGTAAACAATGACACAAAATGAAATAATGATTCTAGGAAACATTTTTACATGTCTCTTCACGAACAATGACACAAAATGAAATAATGATTTTAGGTAATATTTTTACATGTCTCTTCACTACATAGCTCTATCAAAAATTTTAAGATTACTTAGTTTACTGCACATAAACAAGCCAGATATAGATTGCAAATCATAATAACCTGGAATCAGATCATCCTGAAACAGCAGCATTAATTTTGAAACATCTGAACAGAATTAAATGTCCACTTCTTTGAGAGGAATGAAAGGTAGCTCTATGTGCTGCATGTTTATTAAAAAGTAATTAAAAACCACATGAAGGCAAGCAGTGGAACGACATGTACGTGTAAAGTACCACGTTATATTTTCAAGATTGGGACCTAAAATAGGAACCACAGATGTTGAAAACTTCCTGTGTCCTAGAATACAAAATTGTGTCAAAGTTGTGACCTTGTTATAACCTAAAGCTTACAGATTGTATATACTTAACTCTGAACAGCATGCTATAGAATTCATATACTTAATGACAGCCATGCATCTTGCTGCAAATTGCGCACATTGTTGCGGCAGTTGCATACAGAATTTTTTGCAGAATATGATGGGACAGAAAGAAATGCCTCAAATAATTATTTGTTTTTCTCCTCCCATTCAAAATTATATAAGCTAACAACATTTTAATGATTTCTTGTTTGTCCCAGCTTCATATATTTATTGGTCATCACTAAACTGTAAGAATTCACCTGTGCACATATTTCGGGTGCACTAAACCAAAATAAAATAAAACAAACGATAATTTCTTAAAGATGCCACTCTTGCATAGAATAAACAATATTCTGTAGTTGCTACTCATCCTTGAATTTCCTTCAAGGTATATTTTTTAAAATTATAGGTCATTGTCTTGTGTATTTTCTCCTTTCTCACAGGGGAACAGCATAAATATCTTCCTAGTGTCACAGGGAGGCTTTACTCAATTCATCAGCTTGGTCAGAAGGTGGAGCTCTATACATACCTGTATCTCTCACAGCACATCAAATCCGCAACTTCATATAAAAAACCAGAACTACTCAGAAAACAAACCTGCGTTTAACTCCAAGATATAATTTGTTTCATAAATACAGCAGGCCACGTCTGATAATAAATGGCTTTTCTCCTAGTATTTGGAACGATTTTCAGTATGTTAAAAAAAGTCACAATGAAATTTAGGGGTTTTTTTTAAGTTCTCTTTTTCTTTTAAAAAATAGATTTGCATTCTTTTAAAAAGATTATAAGATAATTGATACTTACAGGCATCTCTAATGTATAACAACATGGCTACAAAAATGTAGTCAACTAAATTCAGGGTGATACTGTCAGCAAATAGAGCATCCCAGACAACCAGAAGGTCCTGAAGTGGGAATTCACGTCCAAACAGGAGCCTTACCCATCGCCTGAAAAAAAAGGAAAAGTTTTTATTGGTATTTCTCTGTTTTATCAAGTATAGTAAAGTCAGGATACATATCCCAGGATCAACTACAACCCAAAATGTTTTACCAGAAAATTTGGCAAAAATTATCTGTGACAACCACTTAACTAGTTGTATTTGTGAAAATGTTACTCCACCTACATCAAAGAATGTACACATTACAGACTGTAGAAGCCTCACTGACTATTATTATGTTGGTGACCCTCAAAAGACAAAACATATAAATCCTATATACCATATTTTTTAGCATTTAATGTGACAGTGATTTAAGATGAAAGGGAACAAATGTTATGCAAGAGTAGCCTGGATCATCAAAAACAGGAGGGTGAATCCAGTAGTTTCTGAGAAGTCCTGAAAAGCCCAGTCAAGTGAAAGCCAGTTCAGAGGCAGATGCCAAACAGCAGTTAAAATGGACCAGGTCACATGTACTGTAAAGGGGATTCCTCCCTGTTATGGATGACAATGTTTGCAGCTCTATGTAAAATATGCTGTGGATGCTATTTTCATTAAATCTAATTTAAATATTTACCAGATTTAATGATAATCTGCATGTAGACTATATTGTTAATTCCTGTTCATCTCTGTGCTGTTTTCATACCTAGCAAAATGTGAAAATCCGTCATATTAAATGCAATATTTGCTTGAAGCTGGAAGCTTGAGATGCAGTAGAATAAAATTGTTTCTCTAGATTTCTTATTTCTAGTTCTGTTTCTTACACTGACTTGGTGACCTCAAGAAAGGCAATTCCCTTCCCTACTCCCAAACAGATCCACTGGCTTTGTACCTTTTTAGGTAGGATTATCTAAGGTCACATTTGAAAGAGCTAAAGAATAGTTAGTAACATTAATCCTGAAATAGTTATTACGAAATGGACTTAAAAATAATGAATTACATTTTTAGCTGGGATATGCAAATAGCTACTACGCATGTGGAATCTGTTTATTCAGTGGCAAGAAAAGATTGATTGCAAATTTCTGCTAAGCAAATTAAGTCATTCTTTAAAACTCACAAAAATTTCTAAAAAGGCAACTAGAAATTTCTTCTTCAAGATTAGTTTCACTTGTAAGAACTCATGTTTAACCACTTTTGTTCCAGAATTCATTGTTGGTTTAAGGCATCTGGGATTTTTTTTTCTTCTGATTCCAGTAAATGAAAGTTCGTTTCTAGACAAATGAATTCCAATACACCAGTTGAGCACAAGCTTTGAAGATAGTAACAATCTGTACAAAAAGACTGTCTCTTATAAAAGAAATTCAAAAGGACTATTTTGTGAGTCAAGGTTTTGTTCACTAAACTTTTACTCCCCTTGCCACTGGAACCATATGTACAGTCCACAAAAATATCCATGTACAGATTTAGAGATCACTACATAGAATCTTTTCCTTAAAAGACATGTTCCCTTTTAAAAGTTAAAATAAATGATTTCAAAAGGCAGCGTCATCTTATCCTCATACCAAACATTTATGTACTAAGGGCTTGTAACCTTTAATGCTGGCACAGTAATCACAAAAGTCACAATATTCACTATGACAAAACACAAACTCCGTATTTCCATCTCTAATCAAACCCCTTTCCTATATGGACTTATTTTCAGGCCTCACAGAGAGGAGCCAGAAGAACTGTTGCACAAAAGCAAGGCTTAGCTACTGCAGTTAATACCACGTCTGATCTGTCTAAGGGATTTTGCTATGTAGTGGCACATTACCCTGCAGTGCCTAACCTACAGGAGACTATTATCCTATGGTGACACAAACATTACCCCAACTCTGCGTGAAGCCTATTACTTGCATTAACAACCCCTCCCACCTGTAAACCCACAACTTTCAAGTTACACAAACTGTTAGGCACGAATTTCAGCTAAGCTGGAAGCATTTGAGCTGACTTTGCTTGCAACTGCTGAAGTTTCATTCAGAAGACTTGCTAAGAGTCTAATACACTTCAAGGGAAAAAATACACCATGGTGTAATGGGATTTGTTATTAGTCTTTTATTAGAAATCTCTTTTGCTTCTTTACTACTTCATTATGCAGTGTTAATCGTTTGTAGATGCAGGTTTATTCTGCTCAAGCCGAAGTCATTCCTTTTTTTCTCCTGCTTTTATATTTTCTCCTGGGAAAATTAAATCTCAGTCCCCAGAGATATCATGTTTCACAGATGTTGACTGCTGAAGAACAACTGGACTTCCTTTTGCAACCATAATATTACCGTTAATTATTTGAACCTTCCTGTCTTAAACGGAGTAAGCAATTCACACTGTTGTAAATGCATATATACTAACTGCTCTCTTATTTTCTTCGGCAGCATTTAGCTCACAGCATCTATAAACTGAGGACCCTATTGCCTATGAACCATGCTGCCATATGGCAGGACTTCACTCAGCTTTTATATTCATAAAAAAAAGGATCTTAATTCTTTAACAAAGTGTCCACACTGAAAAGCTGTTGTTCAAACTAACATGTTTTTATTGCTTTTAAAAATATTTGCCGAGAATTTAAGGTACACTTAATAACTGCCTTGGACATGATAAACCTTTTCTTCTTTTTTCTTTTTTTTTTTCCCTTTTGAGATGGCTGTCTATGTTTTAATTATTGTTCTGTCCTGTTAATCTTGGCTTACATCTGTTACACCTGCAGACTGTGAGGCTCACAATAGTATATCTTTTATCACAGGCGGTAATACAATAATTCATATTTTACCAGGCACACTTAGCAATTAAAATCTACAAAAAAACCCAGCCCAGATTCTTTAAAGCCATAATACACCAAGGTACTACTATTACTATGTTGTAGAATATGTAACTGTATCTTTCACTTATGATTCCTATATAATTAAACCAATATTCTCAAGAGATCAGTAATTACTAGCGATAGATAATGATTCCTTAATGACCTTACAATATAGGGAAAACAGGAGAAAACTGTGCTCTAGTAAAGCCATTAAATAAGGCAACGATCCAGCTTTACGAGTTTTAACTAACATCACAACCATTGTGACTGAGATTAACAGGACAATTCTCCAAGCATCAAAATTTAACTTATGTTATGTGTTACATATATGTAGTTGCTTATCTTCTCAGTCTTCTTGGAAGGCAGAGAATTCTTTAGAGAAATTAAGTAATCCCAAGAATTGGTTGCACAGACAAAACAAACCTTTGAGGACTGTTTATGAGGCCAAAACAACACAATGAAATCTGAAATAAGAAAAACTGTAACACCAGGAAAAGAGAAAGCATGGCTCCGAAGCTACTTCTTAATGACTTGATCTAGGACTTGTAACTCGCCAACAAGGTGCCTAGAAATTTTACTATTACGAGCCCATTTTCAATAATTTATACATTAGTTAAACCCAATCTTCAGTACAATTTCCACTCCAAGCATCTGCTCGAAGCTTGATTTTTTTTATCCATTGATACTACTAATTAGAAGAAGGCTAAAAAAGATTTTGCTCGTGCTTAACTTAAATCAATTTTTTTTACAACTCAACTTATTTTCCCCCCAAGCATTTCTAGAATCAAAACAACAAGGTCTTTGGTATTTCTTTTTCACTGTGCATATAAAAAAAAACAAACCGAAGTCCAAATTTGGAATTCTTTGTTTGACACAAACACATTAGAGTGAAGAGAGCTCCACAGAGCACATTTTGTTTCTTCCTAACTGTTGCCACCAACCAAAGAACACTGCTGCCATCCCATCCTGCACTCCAGCCACATCCTCCTTCCTGCATGGGAAATGGCAATACCCTGCAAAGGCTAGTGCCACTTGGTGGATGTGATGGTGGAGAGTGCTCTTCCTCTGGTGTCCAGTGCCTGCAAGACTCACTAGTAGGAGTCTTACAGAGAAAGAGAGGGTCAGTAGGATTTTGCAGAATGCCATTTCATTTTCAGTGCAAGTTTTGATGCTTTTTATTTTTAAATAAGAAAATTATTTAAATGGACTGTAAGTATTGAAAAGAACACCATCTTATCAAAACTAAGCACTCGGAAGCTGAGAAATGCCAAAATTAACATCAGTTGTTTACTGACTGGAAAATGATATGTAAGCTCTGTCTCTTTAAACTCTGTCATGAATTATGTTCAAGCAAACATTTGTAGCCAGTGCAATTTACTATGTAAAGTCATGGTCAATAATTTAGGAGAAAGGGTAGACAGACTTGAGCTGTGATCTGCGACATTTGTATAACACTTTCAAAAGAACTTAAAACTGTACAGAAGATGAAGACTTAAATAGTTCAATGCCAGCCAGTAAGCACTACTCTGGGCAGACTTGATGCCTGCACTACAATTTCAGCGGCCGATGTTTCTAACCTATGGACATTGAGGGGGCTGCAGGTGAAGAAGGCTGTGTACCACTGTGTCTGTCCTCCTGCAGAGGTACCCAGTAGCAGGCAGGGCAAACACAGGGGCTACTGCTCCTGCAGTAGTGCTTGCCAACACTTGCATGGATGAGAACGGAGAACAAACAGAGCTGTAAATACACAGCAAAAACACCCTTAAAAGACAACATTTGATTCCAGAAACTCTCCCAGATTTGGCAGTTGCCAAAGGCAGTCAGAGGGGAGACAGGCAAGTTCAATCAGAGGATGTGTAAGGTAGCTCAGTTTCTTTTAATGACATGAAGGAGGTGAATCAAGACAAGCTTTAGCAACATTCCCACTTAGATCTGTTACACAGTCCATTTCTCCAGTGCTCTCTTCTATTAATAAATCTTGTTTTTATTAAGACTCCCGTGGCTTTATACAGTTCAGGATTTTGTACCGAATGTCCCAAAGATACTCATAAAACCATGATACAGGACAGAGAAGAAACATGCCTGAAGTATAATCACAACTTGTTCTTTCAGCTACTGTTCCACAATCCTCTTGTGAAAGGGCAGTACTGCTTATGGTGCATGAGGAACTCCTAATGATCACAGATAAGGAGAAATGCAAAACAGCTAAGTCTAACAATTAACAAAGTGGCATTTCTAAG